CTAAAGCTTGGCCCAGGTGGGGGGTACCTAGCACCAAAGCTCAACCCTGAGGTTTATGGTCCACATGAGGTCAGCCAAGACCCAGAGAACAAATGCAAAAGGTCATGGATGCAAGCCAAGCTCACGTCTGCCTAGGGCCTACTCCCTCTGCACAGACTGCTCCTTCCCTTGCTCTTCAGACCACTGGTCCTTTCCCAACCTGTATATTGATGCTTCATTAACACTTCATTCAAAGGCTCGCCCTCATGAAGAATGAAATCAGGATCCCCCATTAGTACCCCTTCAGCCCCTGCCCACTACCCTCACAGTTGTGACTGTCCCAAGGCCTGGCCCTCAGCAAATCAGCAACTCAAAATCAAGGAGTAGGGGCCCCTGGATGGCTGTCAGTTAAAAGTCTCACTCTTGATTTCAACTCAGGTCATAATCTCAGGTTCATGAGATCAAGCCCTAAGTCCTGGCTCCAAGCTCGACAGCAAGTCTGCTTTCTCTCCCTCTGCCCGTCCCCAACCCCCAACCCCCAATGCATGTGCACACTCTCTCTCAAATAGTAAATAAATCTTAAAAAAAAAAAGAAAAGAAAGGAAAAATCAAGGACTAATTGTGAACCAGAAATGTTTATTGCAGAAATTTGGTCACAATTCCCACTTGGTGGCCCCCATTGAGGCTGGACTGGTGAAACAGGAAAGGGTGGAAGGAGTAGGGGCCCGGGTCCTCAGAGCTGTGAGAGGATGTTGGGGGCCAGGCTGCAGGTGAGGCCTGTACCATCTGGCTCCACATTCAAGGATTTCACTATGCCATCCTCTACCACCATGGAGAACCTGCCAGAAAGAGAGAATGGGCCAGGGGCGCCTGGGTGGTGCAGTCGGGTTAAGCGTCTGGCTCTTGGTTTCCCCTCAGGTCGTGGTCTCAGGGTCATGAGATCTAGCCCCACGTCGGGCTCTGCGCTCAGCGTGGAGTCCGCTTAAGACTCTCTCTCCCTCGGGGTGCCTGGGTGGCTCAGTCGGTTAAGCATCTGCCTTGGGCTCAGGTCATGATCCCAGAGTCCTGGGATCGAGTCCCGTGTCAGGCTCCCTGCTCAGAGGGTAGCCTGCTTCTCCCTCTGCCTCTGCCCCTCCCCCTGCTTGTGCTCTATCAAATAAATAAATGAAATCTTAAAAAAAAAAAAAAAAGTCTCTCCCATTCCCTCTGCATGCTCGCTCTCTCTTTAAAATAAATAAGTAAATCTTTAAAAAGAGAGAGAGAGAGACTGAGCCAATTACAAAAGCCTGGGCCTGGAGGCTGGGAATGGAAATTGAAGGGATGGCAGGGGAACCCCACAGAGGACCCTCCCACTTTTACCTCTTGAGCCGATGATTTCCAAACAGGGACACCAATGAATCATCTAGTAGCAAATCTGTCTCCTAAAAGGAAAAGCAGAGACAAGGCTTAGAAACTACCAGAACAGACCAAGCCCTGCCTCCACCAGCTGCTTCCCACATTAGCCATGTCCCTCCATGCATCCAAGGCCTGGCACAGGGACCACCCTATAGGGTAGGGGTTGCAGGGATGCACTCACCTTCCCAAAGGCCCCAGTGGGGTCAGCCAAGAGCCTAACCTAAGGAGAAAGTAAAGGTCAAAGAAAAATCCCCCGCCTGGCCCCTGATCCCCTGCAGGACCCATACCTCACCTTGCCTCCCGAGTTGTGAGCTTGTCCCCACTCTTCAGTCACAAAGACATCATTAACACACAGACAGGCTACCACCTGGACCCCCTTGGCCTTCAGAGCCTCAGCCTGCTGCACAAATCCTGGCAGGTGGGTCTAGGAGGGGACACAAAGGGTCAGCAAAGGGATAACTGCCTCTGCTCTGCGGCGTCATACCCTTTATCTCCAGGCCCTCCTCGCTTCCCTCTTGAATATCTTTGATCAATTAGAAATGTGTCAGCCACAGTTCCTTTTTGCCTTGGCGGCAAGAAGCTTGGATCCATACTTGAGTGCTCTGCGGTCACCGTGAACTTCCCTTGGACGTGACTATACTTTACCTGAGTATCTTCCACATCGCCAATCACCAGCAAGATCAATAACAGATGTTGGATTTAATTACAATACCCTTTTCTCCTACGTTCCTGGTGCCACGACCTTTTCACGGCCTCCGCTTTTTTCTGAACGCTCTGAGAGGCTTTGTTTTTTGTGTTTTTTTTATTTTATTTTATTTTATTTTAAGATTTTTTATTTATTTATTTGACAGAGAAAGACACAGCGAGAGAGGGAACACAAACGGGGAGTGGGAGAGGGAGAAGCAGACCCTCTGCCGAGCAGGGAGCCCGACGTGGGACTCGATCCCAGGACTCCAGGATCATGACCCGAGCCGAAGGCAGTTGCCTAACCAACTGTGCCACCCAGGCGCCCTGTTTTTTGTGTGTTTTTTTAAAGATTTTCTTTCTTTATTTGACAGAGGGAGAGTGAGAGAGCATAAACAGGGGGAGCAGCAGCAGAGGGAGAGGGAGAAGCAGGCTCCCCACCCAGCAGGGAGCCCGATGCAGGACTGGATCCCAGGACCCCGGGATCATGACCTGAGCTGAAGGCAGACGCCTAACCGACTGAGCCACCCAGGCGCCCCGCTCTGATAGGCCTTGTAACTGTCACTGCCACTACATACTCTCATTGCAAGCTGCCCTAGAACTTAGGAACAATACAGACATGGACACGAGATTCCAACCGCTGAGTCCCAGAAGGGCAGGTCTCACCTTGGAACAGCCAGGGGTAAAAGCCCCAGGGACTCCAAACAGCACCCCCTTCTTGCCCTTGAACAGCTCTGCCAGGTTCACTTTGTTCCCAGGCTGCCCTTCAAAGACCACCACGGAAGGGATGGCATCTCCCACCTAGAGGGAATGACTTGGTAAGGAGTTACTTGGTTACTTTGTATATGAGCAAAGACAACTAGAGACTGACTAGATAAGGAGATAAGCAGTTGGGGAATGAAGGAGTGGGTAGGAGAAGCCAAGAGAAAGGCGTTAAACCAGACCAGACAGTCGCTCCTAGTAGAGCAGAGTTGACAGAGCTGTAATGTCCTAACCTGTCAAAGTTTCCAGAGGTCCCTCCCAGCCGCCCTCCCCTCTCCCCGCCACCGCCTGGTTCCTCCACATCCTCCGGGTTTCAAGGTGGCCCCTATTCCTTTTACCAGCCTGTGGGTGACAGAAGAAAATGGGAGAGGAGGCCTCTCTGGGTGTCTCAAGGGGTTGAGTAAACAAGGAGTCTGTTTCTTACGGGAAAGAAGTGGGATAAATGGGCAGGGAAGGAGTGCAGGGAATCTATTGGGGGGTGAGGAGGAGACCCTGACAACAGGGAGGGAGAGGACCCTGGCCAGGTCTGAGTGTCCAGCCCTCAGGAAGAGAAAAAGGGAGAGCAGCAGAAGATGGAAAAGTTGGGGGGAGGGTAATAAAATAAAAAGGCATCTCTCAAAGGGGATGGGTTAGCCTAACTGGGAGTGTGTGAGGGTTTCACGGAGCCAGAGGAGGTACATGAAAGGAGGGCAAATCAGGGATTGGGAGTAAGATTAAGCAGGAGGAGGAGGTCTCAGAAGAGGGTGGAAGGGTAAGGGAGGTGGTTCCCAGGTGCAGGGGATCGTTCCAGGTGAGGGGATGAAAGATTCAGCAGAAGAGTGGGAATGAGCACGGGAGAAATGGAACGGGAGAGACACAATAGGGGCTTTAAGAGAAAACCCTTGTTTCAGACGATGGGGTGAAGAATGATGCCCAGGAATATAACAAAAACGTACAAGAGAGTATGGGGGTAGGGGCATGTATGGAGGTTGAAAAGGGGCCCTGCGGCAAAGGAGATGGTTCCAGAAGGCGGAGACCACCATGGTATTCAATCGCCTAAGATGGTGGAGACACATCATTGGGTGTCGCATAGTGGAAGTGAAAAGGGGACGAGGGGAAGGCTCGAGAGCCTTGGGGGCTGTCCAGGAAATGGGGTACGAGTCCCCAAAACTGGCGAGAATTGGGGGAGGGGAGCAGCCACGGGGTGTTGCTGAGGGGAGGAGAACTGCGGGAGGAGCGTCCGGCGGAGCGCAGGGGTCCGGAGGGCAGGAAGGAGGGTGATTCTCCCCCAGAAAGCGGGACCGAGAGCACTGGGAAGACTGGCGGGAGGGGAGTTCAGGCCGGTCCCGGCCAACGGTCACCTTGATTGGGGCCATGGCTGAGGCGGCGCTTCTGAAACCGTAGGCCCCGCCAAGCGTCCACTCCCTGCCTGGTCGCCGGCGCCCGCCTGCTCTCGACGGCGCCGATGCTGCAGACTCGACGGCAGCTGCCCGGACGAGAACCGAGCCTGCCCCACCACTCAGGACGCGTAGCTGAACGAACGGCATGCCCAAACCGGAGCGCACTGCCGCTCCGCCCTCGCGTCGGAGCCCCGGCAGGAGGCGGTGCCTGGCGGGCTGTGCCCAGGCGCGTCCCCTCCGCGAGAGGCGGAGCCCCGGCCGTGCCCGCCCCCGGAGAGGCTCCTCCGCTGCGGAGGCCTGGGAGCGCGTGCAGGGGCGGAGCTTCCGGGGCGCTCGGCTTATTTGCATTTGGGGCTGGACGACCGGCGCAGTTACGAATGGGCGGGGCTTTCGGCAGCCGCGCAACTTATTTGCACAGAAGGATAGGGTGTAGCTGTTGTGGGCCTGGTTTACGGATTCCTGCAGTGTTTCCTTTCCTTAACCGGAAGCGAGGGGCGGGAGACGATGGTGTCAGGCGCTGGTGTAGGAGAAAAACATGTTTATTTGGCATTCAACGAAGGCCACTGCATTGCGGCTGCTTTACCTATGATGTACACAGTGCATAATTCGTAGCGAATGGAAACCACTGGGCCTGCGCCGTAGTCATCTCCCATCGGGACGCTTCCGGTAGGAGCGCGTGATCCGACCAAGCTTTTCCAAACACCTCTACTTCGCTAGCACGAGAAGTTCCAGCATGTTCGCCACTTCCGCTCCTCCGAGCCATCCGATAGGACGGAGAATGGAGCGGCCCCGGAAGTGACGCGGTGAGTTTCTGCCTTCTTCCGGTTCCGGCTTGTTGAGAGCGCGCTGAGGCGACATGAAGCTGCTAACGCACAACCTGCTGAGCTCGCATGTGCGGGGGGTGGGGCCCCGCGGCTTCCCACTGCGCCTCCAGGTATCGGTCCGGGGTAGTCTCGCGCCCGTCTCCTGGGCGGAGTAGGGGAGCCAGGCCCTGTCCCTAACAAAACCCCTCCGCCCCGCAGGCCACCGAGGTCCGCATCAACCCCGTGGAGTTCAACCCCGACTTCGTGGCGCGTATGATACCCAAGGTGGAGTGGGCGGCGCTTCTGGAGGCGGCGGATACCGTGAGGACCCTCCCCACGCCCGTGCTCACCCTGGGGTGGGGTGGTCTCACCGCAGGCCCTTGCCCCCAGGCCGGGGAACCTGGCCTCAGAGCAAGGGGCGAGGTGCCCAGAGCTGATGTAGGCCTTTGCCCACAGCTGCATCTGGTCGAGGTGCCCAAAGGACCGATTGAAGGGTATGAGCACGATGAGAAATTCCTGAGGCAGATGCACCACGTGCTGCTGGAGGTGAGAACCGACCCCATCGCTTGCTTTCCTGGCCAGTCACAGCCGCAGGAGGCTGCCAGTGCTCAGCTCTGTTCCCTCCCCCTTCCCCACAGGTGGATGTGCTGGAGGGCACCTTGCAGTGCCCAGAGTCTGGACGTCTGTTCCCCATCAGTCGCGGGATCCCCAACATGCTGCTGAGTGATGAGGAAACCGAGACTTAATCGTGCCGGGCGCTAGTTTTTCAGTCTGTAACCAGGAATGTTTTTGTTGATGTATATCCTGTTTGCTAGGTCTGTCGTGTATCCCCAAACCTGGACCCAGTGACACACGAAACACAGTGTTCTTGAGCTCGATATATTTCTTTTTCTCATTAAAGGTTCAAAACCAAAAGCGGTTTCTCTTTGCAGCAAATATACATTAAAATAGAGTCTCTGTACAGCCAAAGGCTCTGGGCCCTGGCTTGCCCTATGTCCCTGCACCTCCCTGGCCAAACCCAAAAATAAATATAGTGTTATTGCTCTGCAGGGCATAGAGGCAGTGCTCTCCCTACCCCCCGAGGAGGCTGGGTGGGAGCTGATGGGGGGCCCTGGCCACCCCAGGGGTCCAGGGGCTGGAGCCTGCTTGGAGTTATTGCTTCAAGGGGGGGCAGTAATGCCCAATGCAAATGATGAGGAGAGGTGCGAAGGGGGCAGGGGCCTTTGCTCTCCAAATCCCCCTCTGCTCTGGAGAGGGGGTTGGATTAAGCAGCAGCAAAAGCATCACCCACTGGGAGACTGTGGCCTCCACTCCCTTCCCTCCCTGAGATCAGGCTTCTGCCCCGCCCCCCCCCACGTCCCCTGCAGCCCCCTATGGCTTCCGCAAGGCCCCCTACACTCTGGGGGCACGTTATGGCTTGCAAGGGGCAGCACTGTGCCCAGAGCCTGGGCGCGCACATTCCCAGCTTCTAAGACCCCCTGGGAGGGGGGAGGGGAGGGCGTAAGGCCTGCTCCCAGGGGCTGATGGTATTGCCCTGGCCCTGCCAGCAGGCTGTGGCACTGCCCAGACCCCAGCTCTGCCCCCTTGGGGCTGACCCCATGCTGGGCGGGTCCTGCCAGCATCCCCACCCATGCCCACCCCTTGCCTCAGTCCATCATGGCCTCGAGCATCTCCAAGAACAGCTTGTGCATGGGCACCTTGCCCTCCAGCTTCACGCCATAGAAATGGGCCAGCACCTTGCCCGCTGTCTGGCGAAGGAGCGGTAGTGTGAGCAGCAGCCTGCCCGCCCGCCGCCGCTCAGCACCCCCTCCGGGGCCCGCCCGGCCTGCTTCATACTCAAGCAGGGCCTCGTGTAGAGCTTCTCGCAGCTGCTCCACAGCCTCGGCATCCTCAATGTGCACAGAGTCTGCAAGGAGAGGAGAGGGCGCTGTGGACGCGGACCGTCTCCAGAAAGGGCAGAGCCCACACCTGCTTGAGCACTGTTGGATGGGGCCCGAGGAGGAGCCAGACGTGGATCTGAGGGGCTGCCTGAGGCACCACTCACCGCTCCTGCGCATGAGCCAGGGCCCCCCCTTCCTCCCTCAACTGTGGCCACCTTTGGTCCCCTCCTCCCCTCCCCACTAGATGGTTCACTTTCCATGTAAGGATAGCCCTAGCGCTCGAAATCCTACGTGCAGCTCCTAGGCCTGCCCTTGCCTTCTTTGGGACTTTCAACAAGTTACTGTTCTCCCCTAAGCTCCAATTTTCCTTGTCTGCCAGATGAGACCATGCCACCGTCGGGGTTACGAAGTGGAGGGCCTCACGGAGACTCCCGTCGATGCCCGCCCGGACTCACCTGAATTGGCAAGGGCCAGGGCCTTCAGCAGGACGTACTCCTCACGCTCCAGCCTCAGGGCCTGCAGTCGCCTCACCAGCTGCAGCAGCGCAGCCCCTAGCTCCCCCAAGCCGGCGGCGCGCGCCCCCTCTTCATCCAGGACCAGGTCCTCAGCGAAAGCCAGCTCATCCTGCAGTGGCAGTGAGCGCTGGGCCACACCCAACACCAAGACCTCCATCCACACGCTCTGCAGGACTGACATCTGGTCAGACAGTGACAGTGACGAGAAGCCTGGAGGATAGTGGGAAGCAGACCTGGCTGAACGAGTTCACCAGAGCCAGGCCTGGCCCACAGAGGGAAGCCCCGGATCACCTGGGCCCGTTACCTGGGATGCTCTTGGCCCAGCTGATGGTGACCACAATCTCTCGGTCAAAGAGGTCACAGAGGGTAGCCACAGCTGGGAGGTGTCCATCAGGGCCCGCCGGGTCGGGCATGGCATATAGCTTCTCAGGCTCAACCACCAGCAGGTGGGACACCAGTGCGTTTACAGGAGCTGCTGAGACAGTTGGAAGAGGCACTCGAGTTCGTCACCTTGCAGGCCCCTTTGGGGTCAGGCATCTGCCCCAAATTAGCTACCCCACTCCCCATGGCCTTCCTAATAGCCACAGGCCAGCCAGGCTTGGACACTTCTCTCCAGGAAGGCCTCCCACTCTCTCCCAGGGAAAGCAAGTCCATGGGCAGGTTCTGAGTGTGAGAAAAGTCTTTCCCTGGTCCCAGGTGTACTACTCAGGGACTGATAAGGATATTTTCAAAAATACTCCTTCAGGGAAACACGAACAGATGAAGGGCAAACCGGGATCCTGATGCCCACGCTATCCATTGTGGGTGACTGACACCTAACAGGCCTCTTGTGTCCCAGCCCTATCCCAGCCCTAGGGCTCCCAGGACCCACAGCACGCTCACCGGGTTTCCGAGGGCCTCCGGCTACCGCCAGGGGTCCAGCAGGGAAGGAGCCCGGGAAGGGCAGCGGGTCCACCTCTGGCCGCCGCTTGTACTTCTGCCGCCCGCCTCGGACACGGTCCAGACGTACGCCTTGAATTTCAGGACAAGGCTGTGTCCGTGGGGCTGGGGGTGGCTTGCTCTGCAGAGCCCTCCCACCCCATCTCTTCCCGCAGAACGCCCCAAGCCTAGCCCACCCCTGCCCCACGCACCCGGGCCCCTGCCCAGCGCTCACCCTCCTTGAGCATGCCCACCCGCAGGCACTTGGTGAAACGACAGGCCTGGCAGGCCTTGCGTCTCCGCTTGGTGATCTCGCACTCGTTGGAGGCCGGACAGCTGTACTCGATGCTCCCTACCAGGAAGACGCAGGGCTCCAGTGGCGGCCTCCCGGAGCCCGGAGGGGGCCCAGAAGACAGGAGAGCCCTGACGCGCCCTGGGCAAGTGCAGGTCTGGGGAGAGCGGGAGTGCCCTGAGTGGGGCAGGGAAGCCCGGGACAGTGAGGGGAATGGCCTCTGGGCTGGGGGCTCCTGACGAGGCCAGAGAAACCTGAGACCCAGGGAGTCAGGCTGATCTCTGCCCCAGGCCTCTTGTCAAGCCACGTCTCTGGGCTCTACCAACCCCATCTGTTCTCATCAAGGGCCACAGCGGCTTCTATGTTGCTACATCCAGTGGTCCATTCTTGTCCTCATCTTGCTTGGCCTAAAGGAGCATCTAATGCCATGGATCACGTCCTGCTCCCACAAACACTTGGACACTTGTCATCCTTTGCCTCTAGGACACCACCTCCTTCCAGCTCATTGGCCACTTTGTCATTTCTGTGCATCCCCACACACAACTTCCATCAAAGGACCGACCCCAGGGCTGCCCTTGGACCTCCCAACTCACTCCCACGGTGAGCTCACCAGTCGTGGGCCTTCACGTTTCTATCAGTAGAGCTTCATGAACTCTAGATTCGTTTTCCACTGCCTCAGCATCTTGCAGGTCTAGAAGGCGTGGCAAACTTCACCTGTCCTAAATGGAGCCCACGACCTACCACTCCAAACCCTACAACCCCATTTGTCCAGTGGCTCAAGCAGAAATCCAGAAAACATCTTTGATTCTTCTCTTACACCCAAATCCAACCCATCAGCAGGGCCTGGCGAGCTTTACCTCCTCCTATGTCCAGAAGCCGACCCATTGTGCCCCGTGCCTGCTCCCAGAGCCCCTGCCCCGAGTCACCATCACCCCACCTTCTCGCTGGCCTCCTCCTCCGTCCCTTTCTCCTTCAGTTAATGTCAACACAATGGGCCAGGACAATCCATTCAACCCAAGTCAGATCCTGTCCCTCCCTTGCTCCAAAGCCTCCAGTGATGTCCCTTCTCAGAATAAAAGCCCAAGTGCTCCCAAGGCCGGTGAGGCCTCTAGCCCTTGGCTTTTCAACCTTTCTAGCCTCATCCCCCTCGTACTCTGTTCCTCCCACAGACCCCAGGCTCAGGGCCCACTGCTCCCTTACCTCCTTCTTAGCTCTACTCCCAGTCACCTCAGGGAGGCCCTCCCTGGCCCCGCTGTGAGAACGTCAGGGGCCCCTCTGCAGGCTTCTCTTGCCACCTGCCCTGCCTGATAGTTTCTCGTCAGCTCTCAGCACCCTCTGAGTCGCCACACACGTACTTATTCATCTTATTATCTGTCTTCCCCCTTTAGCATCTGCTCCGTGAAGGCCAGGATGGCCAAGCACTAGGAAAAGGGCCTGGTATGTAATGGCAGCTTCTGACTGGCTGACTAACACATGGTGGCCCTCCCAGCCTCACAGGGGTACCGCCAGGACTGAATGACACAACCAGCCAACATGCCCTTGGCACATTCCTCCTACACCCTATATTCAGGCCTGCGCCCGCAGCTCAAGACACCTCCTCCAAGAAGACCTCCAACCTAGCCGGGTTCCTTGGCACACATCCTATTCCTCCCCCTCCAGCACTTACAATAGCGGTACTACAACAGTTTTGTGCAATTCACTGTTTTCTCTCTTCCCTCTGCTAGAATATAAATGGCTTAGTCCCAGCTATGTCCGCAGGCCTGGAACAGTGGTCAGGACAGCAAAGCACAGGGAAGTAAAAGGGCTCCGAAGGCTGCCTGGGATCCATCCTGACACGACCTCTTAACAACCGTGTGACCTTGGGCAAGTCCCATACCTAAGCCCCCAACCCCTCAGTTTTCCCATCTATAAAACTGGGATAAAAACAGGACTTCCTACAAAGACGGCTAGTAAGAATGAAAGGGAATGTCGAGGTAACATGTTCAGCATGGTTCACAGTGCCCAAATGCTCAATAAATGATTACAATCTATGGCTAGGGCTCAGTAAACATTTGTCAACAGAGTCAACAGAGAATGAAGGGGTCCAACGTGGGTAGGAGACGCCTGGGCCTGGGCCCCTTAGTTCACTGGCCTTCGAATCCATTAGAGAGCACAAACGGTTTTAGAGCAGTGGGTGTTGGCCAAATCAAAACCCACTTGCAATGTCACAATGTCCGAAGTTCAGTTATAAGTAATAAGCAGAGGCAGCAGTCAGCTCTGGACCTAAATCAACCCGAGCTCAAATCCTGCTTCTGCCATTTTCTACCTGTGGGACTTGAACAAAGTTTTAAAAATCTTCCTGGGCCTCAAGTACGGTCACAGCGCTGGCACCTTATGGGCTGCTTGGGGAGTAAGAGATCACGAACACAGAGGGCACCGTGCCTGACACAGGGTAAGCACTCAAGAAATGTTCTCCAAAAGGACACGTTATTGCCCCAAAGTAAGCAGTGTTTCCTATAAAAATATAAGTAACAGGCACGTCCCAAGTAAAGCTTATTACATCGCATCTTGCTCATGTTTTGATATGTGTTCCTGAGTGAGAAAAACTCAGTAATAGTCTTTTTAAAGTCAGGTGCTGAAATACGGTGTAGCCCCTCTCAGTTACCCACGAAAACCTGCCTTATGCTCGTGCTGCTTTGGGGAAACCCACCAAAGGGCGGGGGACGGGGGGTTCTATGCTGCTGAGAGCTCAGCAGCTGCCAGAAGCAAGAACAAAGTTTAGAAGCAGAAAGAGGCTGTCTCAAATTTTTCAGAGCCACTGTGGAAGGTGCTAGGCCTCTAGTACCCAGAAACCTAGGCTTCCTGAGCCCTCTCTCACATCCCACATCCAAGCCATCAACACATCCTGGTGGCTTTATTTAACTTTTCAGGGAAACGGCACTTCCAGGACGGAAGAGGAACTTGGGAACCCCAAGTGGTACCGCAGCAGTCTGGGGGCCTAAGGCCACGTGGCAGTGCACCCACTGGGTAGCACTAGGCCCAGAGGGCAAAGGGCACGGGAGTGTGGTGGGGGCTCACCCTGGATGGTCCTCTTGAAGAAGGCTTTGCAGGCCTCACAGGACGCCACACCATAGTGGTAGCCGGAGGCCACATCCCCACAGACCAGGCAGAGGCGTTTGGGTAGGGAGCTGAGCACCAGCTTCCCACCACCCTGCTCACCAGGCCCAGCCCCCTCCCCATCCTCCTCTTCCTTGTGGCCTGGGAGGCAGCGGGTGGGAGCTGGGCCAGGGGCCAGGGCCACGGGGGGCTCGGTCTCGGTCTCCGAGGAACCCTTTGGACTGTCAGGGCTGGCTGGCTCTGCCTTGATGTAGAGAGGCTCAATGCCCACCACCTGGCTGGACATGGCGCTGGTCACCTGCAGGGAGAGACCTGTCGGGTCACAGGGAGACACTAGGATGGGGGACGGAGACACAGTGCCACCCTGGTTGCCCAACCCCGGGCCTAGGGCCAGGCTTCCAGGCTCATCGAGGGGGAGGGAAGGGGGGCAGAGTCCAAGGAAGGGCTGCCCATGAAGAGGGCCCCCCCCAGCTGTTGCCATGGGAACAGAGTCTCCAAAGCCTCCAGGGCCAGTAACTGACGGCAGGGTCTCCCACTTGGGAACCTGGGGGAGGCCTGGAAACTCCCTACTCCTATCCGGGCCAGGGAGCAGGGTAACCTTAGTCCCCAGGTGACCTTCAACCCCATCTGGAATCCCCAGCCAGTAGCAAGATACCTCTCAATTTTCTCCAAATGTTGGGGATCTCGATGATTTCCCTCTCACCTGGGCATCCTCCATTTAAAAGCACAAACCAGGCACACAAGGGCAGTGGTGGGTTCACACTCTCGCACTCACCTGGGTCCTCAGGTGTCCTCACATGCTCACACATGCTCACTCTCTCCTGGGCACTTCCATGCTCTCACACATGGCTTTCCCCAAGCCCCGGCTCTCACTCATGCTCCCGGTTTGTCTTCACACACTCCACCCGAAGTGCACAAACCATAAACAAAGTCACACTCAAGGCTCACAATCACACACACTCACTCCCAAACACACTCACCATGCCCCCATACTGACACAGGCATAGACCCTTGTGGAAACACACTCAGAGCCTTTCACACCTGACATACCGGCCCTCCTGCCCCAGCATGCCAATCCCATGCCCACCGGAGGACGCGGCTCCACCTCCTTACACCCCACCCCACCCCCCAAACCCCTCCAGCACAATCACTCTTACACTCCAGCTGCCGCAGAATCCTCCACCTCAGGAGCGCCCCGCCCCGGCAACCTGCGCACACCTACGGAAAGTTGCCTAAAGTTGCTGCGCCTCCCCTTTCCCCTCCGCCCGCGGGGGACCTCTATCAGGTTATCAGGAAGTAAATGGGGAGCGCCAAGGAGGAGGAAGTTCTCCCCTGCCGGTGCGATGACCTTTGACCCAGAGAGGAGGGTGGCTCAAGGCCCCTTCGAGCGCCCCCACGTGGTCTTCAAAGCCCCTTCTCCGACAGGGAACCCTCCCTATCTTCCACCCAGGCCCGCCCCTGGGACTTCGACTTGCTCCAGGTGCCGGATTGAACCCTGCCCTGAGACTGGATCCGAGGCCCAAGCCTGACCCTGGCCAGGACGTGAAGCCCGAGCCAGGACCGGCCCCTGTCCCAGGCCGACGCATTAAGACCTCAACACGGGATCCCGCCCGGACCCTAACCCCGTCTGGCCCTGGACCCGGTCCCAACCGTGACCCGGGCTGGTCCTGGAGCCGGACCCCGCCCGGAGCCCGCCCCCCGCCACCCGCCTCCCAGCCGCGCTCGCACATGGCCCCCGCGCCCCGCCCGTCCACCCCCCCCAGCGGCGCTCCCCTCCGCCCCCGGACCTGGGGCTCCGGCAGGGCGGGCGGGCAGGCATGGGGGCCGAGCGGCCCGGAGCGCCGGGGTGAGCCTGGGGCCGCGAACGGCCCCTCCTCCGCCGCCTCCTTGGGCCGCACCGCCCCGCCGCGCCGCGTCCCCTCACTCGGCGGCGCCGCCGGCGGCTTGTAGGACACAAAAGGACATCGCGGCCGCTTCCTACTCTGCTTCCTCCAGCTGACAGCGGGGGTGGGGCCGGCCGTGCGCATGCAAAGCAGGGGGCGGGTCTCGGCGCCCTATGCTAATCAGACAAGAGGGGCGGGCAGCGCCTGCGTGCCCGGACCAGTCGGGGCGGAGCCGGCAAAGCCAGGGGGCGGTCCTTCATGAAGGTCCCGCCCACCGCCGCCGAGCCGGAGCGGCGCACTTGTGAAGGCGGCGGCCGAGGGGGCGGGGCCAGAGGAGACGTGGAGAGGCTCCGGGAGGGGGTTGGAACCAAGAGCGCTCTTACGTAACGAAGGAGGCGGAGCGCGCTGTGCGGGAGAGAAGTGGGCGAGGTGGCTCGCGGGCCGCAATTGCGGGGCAGGGAGAAGACTTACATATGTAAATGAGAGGGCGGGACGAGCGGAGAGGTTAGTGTAACTGCATATGCATGAGGGGCGGGGCCTAGCATGCCCAAACTAGAGGGGAGACGCTGCCCCTTTACCTTCTCGCCCTTCCCCCAAGATTACACCATCGGGGCTCTTGGACCGCAGATCCAATATCCCCACACAGCTGCTGGACCCGGGTGGGAGAAGCAGGCATAAAACATGCAAGAAGTCCTGGATTTCGAGTCCCGGGAAGGCGGAGCCAATAGGGCCTGGACGGAGAACGCTCAAGGTCACTGCGGTGACCGAGTGAAGGTCACGGGGAAAGGCGGGGCCCCGTGCGTCCTCCTCACGCGGGCAGCCACGCACTGACTCACCGACCGTGCACAGAGTCTTTTATTTCTCTAGGACTCAAATTCCACGTGGACAGGGTCAGGCTTGGATCTGGGGACGGGACAGGGGCCGGGGACTGGAGTCGGGCTGTCTGTCACTCGAGCCCGAGCCCGAGGCGGTGCTCTCAGTGCACCAAGAGGTGCAGCCTCTTGCTCCGGCGCCTCTTGAGCCCCTCGATGTATCGCTGCAGCTGCTTGGTCAGGAAGTGGTCCCGGCCAATACCTGACCGGTAGCCTGGAGGGCATAGCTCGGCTCAGGGCGGTGAGCAGGAGCATGGCCTCCCCAGCAGTGGTGCTGCACCTGAGATTTGAGGAACCGCGGGTGATCTGGGGTAGCAGGAGCGCTTGGCACGCGGGTCTGTTAGTCTGGGAAACTTTGGATCTCCAAGGTGCTGGCCCTGACAGTTTTTGGGTTTTTTTTAAAGGTCAAGTCATACACCTGTACTCCAAACAGATGGGGGATGTAGAAGAGGATGAGTCAGGTGGAGCATGGGTGAGGGCAAGGTTAGAGTGTTGCAGGCCTGAACCAGGACAGTGGTAGCAGGCAGCTCTGTGGACACCTCCTGGACCACCCACTCTAAGCCATTAGCCAGCATCCCTGCCTTATATTATAAGCAGGGCAAATGAGGGGGCTTTGACCCAAATAATCCACTGTCCAGAGGTTCCTCACAGCACCGAGGGAGAGGGCCAAGTCCACACACAGACTGTCATCCCCGCTGGGGAATGGAGAAACCGCTTTAGAAAAGCCACATCAGCTAGAGAGGGGCTGTGCTAAGGCTGGCGCCCAGGCCCCTGAGGGTCACCTCATGCTCTCCCCACTGGGTGTCCCTGTGCCCAGTCCCCCAATTTTTTACTTTTGGTAGGGCTCCTGGAATACTGGTGGGTAGTAAGGGAATCTGACAAGGCAGACACGTCCTGAAACCCCACTCCCAGAGGCCCAAACCCTGCAGAATCCCCCAGGGTCTCTTGTGGGAGCTGGGGAAGGGGCTCACTCCGGAGGGCTTTGGTGAGGATTTCCAGAGCTTCACTCTCCATGAGTTCCATCAGAGGCAGTGGCAGCTGGAGAAGCAGCAAGAGGCTCAGATGTCCCAGAGACCCCAGCCCTGCCCCGAGCTGAAATGCCTCACCTACCCCCTCTAACCCCAAGACCCCCAACCAACCTGCCTGTCCCTCTGCTCTACAAACCACCCTCACCCCTTCACCTCTACAACCCCCACCTTGCCCATCTCCACCCCACTAAAATCCCCAGTTTCTCTGGGTGCTAACCCTGTTCTGCTGCTCCATCCAGTAGGCTCGATGGGGTGTGTGCTTCGAGATATTAAGCGATGACTCTGAGGAAGACATTTCTGGGAGAAGAGAAAAAGAGAGATCAGTCATCTGCAGACCGCTGGGTCTTCCCTGGAGCAGAGGAAACGAAACACATGGGCAGGCTTGTGGTGGCAGGGGAGTGGCCTTCCGAGACCAGCTCCAGGTGCCACCTTATTGGGAAACAGTATGGGACAGTCGGTTACTACCCTGGGCTTTATTGTCCTACCCACCAAGGTGCCAGTTCTGGCTACCCCATTAGGTGAGGCTTACAAGCAGTGACTGAAAATTTCTGACCCTCAAGTTCTTAATTTGTCAAATGGGGTAATAAGAATAGAGCCCCTTATGGAGGTTGTGAAGTTTAAGGTGATCATGCAAAGGAAGCCCAGTGCCTGGCACACAGCAAGCACTCAATAGATGGCATTACAATATTGTTATGCGTTTTAATCCCCCGATGTAGGGGCGGGGGGGGGGGGGAGGGGGAGTCCCAGACAGTGCCCCGCAAGAAGTAGGTACTTAAAATTGTAGCCAACAACTGAGTGAATGAAAGACAGGCACCTCCTCAACGACAGCAAATCCATACACAAGGAAATAACTCCCTCCTCTCAACCATCCCAGTGATTCCATTCAAAGCACGGGTCCTACGGCGCTGCCTTTGCGCATTTTCCGCAGGTGTCTCTCGGACCTGGCGTGCCATGGCCACAGGACCTTGTACGACGCCTGCCCGGTAGGGGGCGCTCCAAGAATGTCTGGTTGATTTAAAGCGTAAAAGATAAACGAGGGCGCCCGTCCGGGGAAAGGGAACCCTGGAAACGGATCCTACAGCTTCTCCCCCCGCCCCATTTTACAGCAACAGATACTGAGGTCCTGGCCAGCCCCCTGCCCTGTGAGGCCACACTGACCGGTGTCGGTCTTGGAATCGACGTCCTCCCCTAAACGGCTTCCCAGGGAGCTGGCCCGACGCAGCTCCAGCTCCAACAAGGAGGACTCGCCCAGATCCTCCTGTCTGAAACTGTCCTTGTCCTCTCCGTCATCCCATTCTTCCCAAGCACCGTCCGAGTCGCGGCCGGCCTTCAGGTTGTACCACCGGCGGGACTTGCTGCCGACGCCGCTGCCCTCCATGTCTGAGTCCTCGCCGACACTGGACCGCGGCACATTCAGCTTCGGCTGCGACAGCGTGGCCCTGGTCCACAGATTCCGGATGTCGTTGTCTGGGCTCGACTTGTCTGAGCCATGGCTGCCCAAAGATGCCTGTGGGCCACATACAACGAGGGAAGCCAAGGGCCGCGGGGAGTTGGGAAGGAGAGGAAGAGCAGGCTGGAGTCGTGGGCTCGGGGCTCGTTGGGAGCTGCCCCGGGGCCAAGGCTGAGGGAGAGACTAGCCAGGGATCCAGGCTGGACCCAGGCTGGGGGCTCCCACGGGGAAGGGGCCGGGAAGAGTTCTTACTTTGAAAGGCTTTTCCTCCATGGTTCTGCCCCAACGGACCCAGTCGCCACAGGCCTCGGGGCGAGGAGCCAGGGGTCACGCTCCAGGAGCGGGGAGGGGCAGGATCCCGTTCCCGAATGGTGCTGCGGGTCTCGCGAGGGAGAGTGCAATCTACAGCCCCCCACGCTAGATGCCCTTCTCTCTCCCCCGTCCCCACCGCCCCGTATCTGGGCTGCGGTTGGAGCCCCGCACAACACCTTGGCACAATCCGATTCCGGACCCTACCCGGTAGCCTCCCGGCCGAGACCCGGGCCCAAGCGTGGCCCTTTCGGGGGCAGGCGTGGGGAGGAGGGGCTCGGCCCGGGGGTCACAGGAGCCTGGCTTGCCCCGGAGGTGGCCCGACGCAAGCGCTCCCACACCCACGCGCGTCCCCGGAGCGCGCACGCCCGCAGCGGTGCAAACTGTTTCCGTTTATTGATGCAGGCTTTTGAGGCACAGTCGTGAGGTGTGGTGAGGGACGGGCCCAGCCGGGACAGCGAGACAGAAAGCCTGGGGGGGGGGGGGTCTGCAAACGGATAAAGTGAGGAGAGGGCCAGGAGCGGGGGTGGCAACGCGTAGCCTCCTCCGCAGGCCTCGGTCCGGTCGAGAGAGGCCTCTTTGGTCAAACAAGCAGAGCATGCCGGGGAGAGCGCAAGAACGAAACCCTCTGAGAGGCCCGGGCCCGGGGTCCCGCCCCTACGCCGGCACGCCTTTCTCCCGCGGCCGCGCGGGCTTCCGGGGAGCGTTAGGGGGCCGGCGGCGACCCCGTGGCGCGCGGGGCAGCGCGCAGCCGCGCTCGCTCTGCGTGTCAGAGGACTCGTCGATGAAGGCCAGGTTCTCGCTGGGGTAATCCAGCGCCGAGGCCGTGGGCGGGGAGGGCGGGGAGGGCGGCTCGGCCTTCACGGGGAGCGGGGACGGGGGCCTGCCGGCGGGCTGCGCCGGACACGGCGGCGGAGGCAGGAGTGGCCGCTCCTTCTCCGGCGGCGGTGGTGCCGTGGGCCCGACTCGCTGGGTCACCCGCGCCGTCACCGTGCCGGTCCAGCTGGCGGCCTGCGCCGTGAGGCCGCCCATCTGCGCGAGGAGTAAAGGCAGTCCTCGACCGCGGGTCCTCGACCGCCTCGGCCACCCCGGGAACCTACCCCTTCGCCAATCAGGCGCGGCCCCCCTTTTCCTCCTGGTCCTCCGGTCTCAGCCCGCCAGAGCCGGGAAAGGCTCATCAACCAGCCACACACTCTCCTCTCCTCCGAACCTGAGTCCTCTTCTCTAGGAGCTTTTCTAGAAAGCCCCGGTTTTATTTCAGCTATCCTTCCTGTGCCCCCTGGAGACCTTTGCGCCCCTCTCGAGCTCCTCGGCCGGCGCGACCAGTAAGGTGACACGACGCAGGTCGCCCAGTTAAATGTGAATTTCAGATAAACGACAAATAAAATTTTAATATATGCATCTCCCTCCCCTGCAACATTTGGGACATACTTACACTAAAATATTATTTGCTCTTTATCTGAAAGTCACATTTAACTGGGCTTCCTGCTTTTTGTTTTGTTTTTCTCTAAATCTCGAAGCCCTATCCATGAGAGCAGAGATGGAGTCATCAGCAAACCGGTCCAAGTTTAACCCTTTGTCCCCGGGGCAGGTGCACACTGGGGGCGGCGGGGGGGGCACTCCGTCCCTGCCTTGAGAAGCCCACACTCTGGAAGGGAGGCAGGCTGATCAACTCGCTGCTAGGGTAGAGCGTGTAAAGCGCAGCGCTGACGCAGGGGCGCCTACCTCTGCCCGAGTGCGGCGGGACACTACTCGCAGCCAGTTCCCGATGGTGGTGAGTACTGAGGCGAAGTAGGCCAGGCCGAGCAGGATCCAGAACCACACCAGCGGCTGGTAGGCTGCATTGCTCTGGTTGGGGCTGGCGCCTGGGATACCACCGGGGAGGCCAGAAAGACGTTGATTGTGGAGCAGGCTTTAAGCCTGTGAGCTCCTGGTTCATTGCCCCTCTTCTCAGCTCAGTGAGAGGATCCGCCTCCCCAGGGCAATCAAAGGGTGTGTGCTAGAGTGTGTGTGAATGCATGCTAGATGAGTGTACATGACTTGAAGGTGTGCCAATAAAAATATGCACGTGAGTGTGCTCACACGCAAAAATGTGAGCATATGGGAGGGGTGCACATATATAAGAATGTGACACGTGTGAGGGGTGCACTTAATCTATGTGCGAGCATGCATCGGGGTGCAGGCATGCAAGAATGTAAGGGCACATGAGGTGTTGCCTCCGTGCAAAAACGTGAAGGTGCATTCCGTGAGGGCATGTAGGGATTGGAGCAAGTGCCTGTGAGTACACACACACCACAAGGAATTTGGAGGGAGACGCAAGAGTGCAGGGCCACTGGGCATGAATAAAGTGGATAGGGAAGTGCAGCGCAAGAAAGGTGGCCTCACCAGCCACATAGTCCCCGAAGCCCACCGTGGTGAGCGTCACTACGACGAAGTAGATGGCCTCCAGCTTGCTCCAGCCCTCCACGTAGCAGAACACGAACGTGGGCGTGAGGACAAAGAGCAGGCAGCCGATCAGAAGGAAGAGCACCGCCGATAGTATTCGCACCAGCCCCGGTGGCACATGCCACTTCTGCAGGGAGGGGCAATGGGCAGAAGGACCCAAGGCGTCGCCAAAACCTCCAGTCACCCCCCCCACACACACACACACCGCCTCCTCCGGGATCCGGTGCGCGAGGCTCCCGCGAGCGACCTCGAGGTCCGCGCTCTCGTGCGGGGCGGGGACGTAGGGAAGGGTAACCCGAGCTCAACGCGAGGGCGCGCAGGGCAAGGAGCAGCTCACCAGGAAGATGGCTTCGATGTGACCGATGCCGCGGCGCAGAGAGGAGCCCAGCCGGTCCCCGACCCCTGCCAGCAGGATCCCGAACAGCGGGATCCCCACCAGCGCATAAAAGATGCAGAAGAGGCGCCCGGCATCTGTGCGCAGGGCCGCGTTGCCGTAGCCTGGGCAGAGGGGCCGTGCAGGAAGTCTAGGGGCTGCCTGGCCCCCACTTCCTCCCTCTGCACCTTCCCCCAGGAGAAAGCCCAGCGGCCCCTTGCCCCCCTCCACGTGCCCAGTCCCCTCCCCCACCGATGGTGGTGATGATGGTGCCTGAGAAAAAGAAGGCGCTGCCCAGGTCCCAGGCTGAGTGGTTGCTGTTACTGGTTGAGTTGATGTCAGGGTCCGCACCCCCTCCCAGGGCATCAGCCACATCCTGCAGGACAAGGCGCAGAAGGAGGAAACTCAGCGCTTCCCTACTGTCCCCGCCAAGCCCCTGGCCCTCCAGTCTCCAGAGTGGTATCCTCCCTCCCCTTCCCAGCGCTCCCCCTCTCTCCAGTCTTCCTGAGGGCTGTCCCTCAGAGTAGACATTGCAAATTGGGTGGCCCGATTTTGTTTGACCTCCACATTGTTTTAGAAACATTTTAGTTGGGACGTCTGGGTGGCTCAGTCGGTTAAATGTGGGACCCTTGATTTCGGCTCAGGTCAGGATCTCAGGGTCCTGAGACTGAGCCCCCGGTTGAGCTCACGCTCAGCGGGGGAGTCTGCTTGGGATTCTCTCTCTCCCACTCCCTCTGCCCCTCCCCCCCACCACCCTCCTCTTGGCGAGTGTGTGTGCTAGAACCCTCTTTCTTTAAATAAATAAATCAATAAATCTTAAAAAAAAAAAAAGGTTTTAGTTATTTGCCCCTTAATTTCACACAAAAGATTTCAAGTTTATAGAGGTCAGGAGCACAGACCTGGACCAGACTGCCTGGGTTCAAATCTCGGTGCTGTGTGACCCTGGGGCAAGTTACCTCTCTGTGCCTCAGTTTCTGCCTCTATCAGGTGTGGATGATGATGCTAACACCTACCTCAGACAGTTGTGCAGAGTTAAAGTAAGCCCTGTGTGTTAAGTTAGTCCAAGGAGTGATCATGCCCAGTGATTTCCAGCTTTCCACAGACCCCACCACTCCCACTGGCCCTAGGAAAGCTGAGTTTTGAGTTCCTTGCCTTAGAAAATCTGATGGAAGTTAGGGACCCTTTCTCCAGGAAGGTTCATATACCATCAAATTTTGTACCCAATATTGGAAGGCTGGTAGACACACAAGCCCCCACCCACCCTGTTGAAGTCCAAGCCGAACCCTGTGCTACATAGTAGGTGCTCAATAAATAGGATTAAATTAATGAAATGGCCACGTGTCTGCCCCTCTTGCCACCTTGCAGTCCTTTCAAGACACAGTCTGTGTTTTGAGAGTGTCTGCCTTAAGTGACAGAGGTCGGAGCATAATGAGGGGGGCAGAAGGGCCCTTCCCCAAGGAGCACAGAGCCAAGACACAAAGGCAGTGGGGGAGATCAAAAACCACATTCTTTCCCTCTGAATGCAATCCTCATTAGCAAGACCCATTCCAAATTAATCTTCCTAAAGTGACTGCCCCAAATCCTCCATAGCTCCCTGCTGTCACAGCATAGAGTCCAAACTCCCAGCCCAGCATCTCAGCCCCTTTTCAATCTAGTCCCCACCTCCCTTTCCCCAGCCTTCTCTCCTGGGACCCCCATTTGAAATCCAAGTTGCAGTGACCTTACGCCCAGATTTTCTGAGATGATCCCATTTCCTGTAATAGTAATTCTTAAATGAAGCCAAGAAGTGAAATTTATGATTAAGGTGATTTAAATTTTATTTTGCAAGACTTTTCCAATAAATTCACTACTTAGGGGGGAAAAAAATCTCTTGTCATCCTGTGTGTTCTAATTTTTGCTTCGAATGACTACGCATCTGCTAAATCCGAGTTCTGCAAAACACTCGGAGCTTTCCAACTTCCACGCCTTTGCCCATGCTGTTCCTCTGCCTGCAGGTCTCTTGCAAACCAATCACACATCTCTCAATTCTACAAGGCTCACCTGCCTCATTTCAATTACCTGCTCCTCCCAAAGCCCCCCCACCCCCATCTCCCTCCTTGCCCCCAGCACCTAGCTCAGGGCCCAGCATACAACAGGTGTTTAACAAAGAAGGAAACAAGGAAAGCTCCCTTTCCACGGAATCCTACAGTGATCTGTCTCCTCATCCCAAAGTGACAGCCTCTAGGGTAGAGCCTGCCTCTGTTCCACCCCCATAGCAATTTCCCTGCTCACCCTACAGTGTATTAGCACAGCACCCAGCACATAGTAGGTGCATAATTGCTGCAGGACTGCCTAGTTGTGGAAGAGAAAGCAGCTGTCGCCCACACTTCTAATTTCTGCCCTTCCTTTTCTTCTTTTTTTATCCAGAAAAAAGCATTTACATGGTGAAGATAAAATAGGTCAGATTCCCTCCCTCCCCTGCTCTGCCCTGTGGTCTGGCCAGACACATTCTCCTGCCCAGGCCTCTCTGAGGCTCACTGGGATTCTGGAAGTGTCAGAGCCAATGTCAAGCCGCCTGTGTCCTGGCCCCACCCCATCCTCATCTCTGCTCCTGGTCCTGCCACCTTGGAAATCAGCTGGAACACTGAGGCCTCCATGCCCATGGCTCCTCCCTCCAAAAGAACAGGCAGGGAAGCAGGGGTACTCTTCAATAAAGTAATAAACATCAATTTGTTAAAGTTAATCCTTGGGGTTTTATATGATAGTGACTCAGAAATCACAGAAGCAACAAAGGTGCTTACCTGATAGTACCCCCAGGAGGCTGAAGCCCAGCACTTTCTTTAGTCACTGAACCAAAGTTGAACCCACCCCTTCCTCTGGCCTCTTCATCATAAGCATGTGTCCCGAGGAGAAGGGCTGCTTAGCCTGGTATCCATGGTGGCAGGCTTAGGGGATCCTGGAACCCTCCGAATGTGTCCCTCTGACACCCTCTGAAACCACCAGGATGTAAGTGCATTTTTCCAGGGGGTAGGGGAGTGTTCACAGTGTTCTTGGGCATCTCCAAGGCATCTGTGACTCCAAAGAAGTAGAGAAACCAGGGTAGGGTTGCCAGTTTCAGTAAATAAAAATACTGCATGGGACATATTTATTTTTTAAAAGTATTCATTGTTTAGTGGCTAAAATTCACAATTATCCAGGCGTCCTGGATTTCATCCGGCAACCCGGAACCAGTGCGTTATGCCTGCGAAATGTAACATATTTCATGTGCTCCAGCCATGTATTCATTTCTTCCTTCACTCGTTCCTTCACTCAACCACCATCACACTGAAGGAGACAGCCCAGGAGCTCAGTGCAAGCCCAGGAAAAGCAAGGCAGACAAATGCCCCCAAGGTCGCCATATTGAAAACACAGAGACCTGGATCCCAGCCTCTGCCCTGCACCCCTCAGCTGCACCCTGCCTTCCGGGTGCCCTTCTGGAGGCGGCAACCCAGTGCAGGGCCCCACTGGCATGCAGCTACTTTTGGGGGGGTCACCGGCGACTGTTGAAGGGACTCCTGCCCACCCACGCACCTTGATGAAGAGCCCCAGGTCCTGGTCGCTCACGCATGGATGGGCCCTCAGGAACTTCTCTCGGACCTCCCCCAGCTCCCTCTGGGCCTGCTGCTCGTGGGGCTGCTCCAGGGCCTGGAACACCAGGGCACCGGACACCAGGTAGAGCAGGACCAGTGCCAGCAGGGCCAGTAGGGTGGTGCTGCGCATGGCGCGCCCAGGGGCCCGGCCGATTCCGCTGCCCGCCTGGGGAGGCCGGGCAGGGGGCTCCTGGGGAGCTGCGGTCACTGTGGGTAGAACCAGGGATGCCGGGATCAATAACTTAGCCTGCCACCCCCCACCCTCCTCCTCCAACCCCCATACAGCCAAAGGTCCTTAGAGCCCCCAGCCCTATAGCCCATGGATGTCCTCTCTTCACATCCCTCTGCCAGGACACTTGGTACCAGGGCACAGCCAGTCCCCCGACTTCGGTCCACCCCTTACCTCCATTGCCCCGCCCTCAGCCCCTGTCCGGGGACTCCAGGACAGGAGAAGAGAAGAGGGCACCGGGAAGGGAAAGGAAGGAGAGGGGAAGGGGCAAAGAGAGGCTGAGCTTGCGGAGGGACCCGCAGGGCGAGCGAGAAAACGCCGGGGGCCTGGAGGGGGCGTGAGGAACCGCTTCCAAGCAGGAGGCTGAGGGGGCGCTGAGGCGCGCGAAGGGGAAGCGGGAGGAGAGGCCGAACCGCGCAGGGCGGGGACGCGGATGGCGGGTCCCGGCTCCTCCGCTGCGGCTGCGGCAGCATCTTCGCGCTTCTCTCCCCCCCTCCCGCCTCTCCCCGCTCTGCCGCGACCCGCGAGGGGCCGGGCGGGGAGCGTCCTGGGTCTCCCAGCGCCCCGCCGGGCTTTCGAGGAACCCAGGGGCGGGCCCCGGTCGCCGCGCGGAGGCGAGGCCCGGCTGGGGGGTGGGGAGGGTCCCGGGTTCCGGGAAGAAAAGGGGCGGGAGCGACCAGGGCCGGCCCCGGGGCAGCATCCTCCCGGGCAGCCGTCAGCACCCCCCGGGGACAGCGGGCCGCGGCGCCCACGCGCACACACGCGGGCACAAAGACCCGCGCGCCCACGCTCCGCCCTGCGGCTCCCGCCCGCCCCGCTGCCCAGGCTGCACGCACACACTCCACCTGCACGCTCCCCAGACTCGCGGGCACACCCGGACCCCCGGGGGCGTGCGCGCCGGGCCGAGGCACCCCCGAGGTCCACGCGCACGTGTGCACACACTCCCGTCCACACACCCAGGCCGCCGGGCCACCGCGCAGCGCCCGCCACCCAGACACACTGCACACCCGCCGTTCGCTCCCACCGCCTCCCGAGAGTCTTCAACGCCGACGCCTGGGAGCGTGCGGGCGGCGGGACGCGCGGCCGCACGGCTCCCGGAGGCGCCCACGCGCGGGGAGGTGAGCGCCCCGCCCGGCCGGTCGCCCCCCGCGCACCCCTCCCTGCCAGGGAGCCCCGCCCGCGCCCCGCACTCCCTCCCGCGTCAGCCCCGCACTCACTGTCGGCCCCGCTGCGGCTGCGGCTGCGGCTGCGGCCCGGGCTCCCGCGCGGCCTCGCCGGTGCCGGCTGGGCCGCGGAGGCGGCGGCGGCGGCAGGGGCGGAGCGGGCGGCCCCCGGGGCTGGGACCCCCCTCCCGCCGCCAGAAGCCCCCCTCCTTCCAAGATTAACCCCTCCAGCGCCGCGCCTCCCTCCGTGCCGCGCCCTCGCCGCCGGCGCCGTGCCCCGCAGCCCCTTACCTGCGGCCGCCCAGCCCCCCAATTCCGGCCGCTCTCGGCAGGTGAGGGGCAGAGGAGCCCGAGACGGGTCGCCGTTGGGTCCGGCCTGGAGTCTCAGACTGGAGTCCTGGTACTGCCCCGCCGGCCATCCAGTGTGGCCAGCGGCACGGCCCTGGCCTGGACATCTGCCGGCTCACCTCTCCGGACAGGCGCCACGTTAATCTCCCAGCATCTCCCAGGCCCACTACGGATCGGAAGGGCCCTCAACTCCCCGCCCCTGGGGACAGCCTGGCCCATGGGCTCAGCACTCCTGAGGGAGGCGGCCCCGCGGGACAAAGGGGTGAGCGATCCACTGAAACAAGCTGAAACTGTCTGAGGTAGGGTTGGGACCCAGTTCTGGAAAGTCATGCCGGGGCACCTCCTGCCCCTACTCCCGCCCCATCCCTTGGTCCTTAGCCCCGTGGCCATCCCAGCATGGAACGCGAGCCAGCACTCCCCCACAGCCTGAGCAGCCGGGGCTCTGGCAGGTCTTGGAGCTGCTCCCCTCTGTGTGCCCACCCACTTCTTTAAACCCTGATCTCTCCAAAAATCCTCTGGCCTGGGGTCTTCAGCCCTCACAGTGGGTGGCTTTAAGCCTGGGCTCTAAGGCTGACCACCCCCTACCAGTAGGGGGCGCAGATGTGTTATCAAGCTCTCCAGCCTCCCAGTCCCTACTTACAGAAAAGGGATGATTAATTATCACCTCGGAGTGCTGTTCTGAGCATTAAGGAGGTCAGTATTTGTAAATGCTCAAAACGGAGGCTGGCACACACAATAAAGTGCCCTACAAACGTTAGCAATTTTCCTTTCAACAAAGAGTGACTGTTCAGCTTCAAGCTGATTCTCAGTCTCAGATGCCCTCTCTTGGGAGGCCCTGAAGGCCTGGTGCCCAGGAGCATCCCAAGTGAAGAGTTTCAAGGCAGGATCAGTGGTAGGCCCCAGGAACTCCAAGGAGCTGTGATGTCCGGGTACATGGACAGTAGAGAGACCCTCTGATAAATGACTCCCAGCCACAGGACAGATGACAGCCCTACCAAGGCCATGGCAGCAGCAGGCAGTGACTGTAGCTTTAGGGGCAGCCAGAGAAGGGGCCCTCAGGGCCACCAGGCAGACTATGTGGGGGCAGCTCAACTATCTGGCCAAATCCACACCTGGTGGGGAGGTGGGGGCGGCTCAGTCACAGGCCAACTCCTCCATGGCCCTGGACTAACCCCTGGCCCAGAATGCCATGTTGGGAAGGATGACAGGGGAACAGGGTTTCCAGAAATCCCAACCCGGCAAGGGGAACAGGCATAAGAGACCCATAATCACGGTGCCACAGGACCCCGGAGGGGGGACATGGCTCCCTGACCTGGAGATGAACGGCTTCACAAAGGAGGTGACATTCGAAGCAGGTTTTGAGGAAAGAGTAGACATTTTTCAAGTGAGGAGGGGACTGGGGTGGAAACAGACTTTTCTGGCCTCCTTGCCCCTCAGGCTGCAGGCTCCCTCCCTCTCCTGGCCCATCAGCCTGGGTCAGGTAAGTGACCCCTGCCCAGCCCAGCCACGCCTTTGGAGGACCTGGGTCTGGTCAGTCCTCAGCTGTATAGGCCATGGTGCAAGGAACACAAAGCCAACAACTGACAGACAGTGAACTGATGAGGGGCACAGAGACTGTTTATTGAGGGGCAGGTGCAGGAGAGGTAGCCGGCTCCAGTGCAAAAGTGGAGGCAGCAGGTCATGCCAAGGTGCTGCAGGCATCTGGCAGCCAGGGCCATGCCCCCCATCCTAGGGGACAGCACAAGCTCACTATGACAGGAGTAGCAAGGAGCCAGCCAGGGGAAGAGGCAGCCACAGCCTCCCATGATCCTGGGCAAGAAGCGGCAAATGTACTTGGCACAAGGGCCTAGGATGGGAGGACTGGGGTCTGGGTGTTCAAGGGGGAGAATGGGAGGGGATCACGTCTGTGGAGTGGAGTAGAGACTGTGGTGGTGGCCACCTGGTCCCAGCACCTGGGAGAAGAGCAGAGGAGTGGTCCGTGTCTGGCTGCCCCCGCACCAGCCTGGCTCCCGCCCGATGGCGCCGTACCAGCTGCCAGAGCCTAGGCTGCCCGACATGCTGCAGGCAGAGAAACAAGGATCGGTCCCAAGGCAGGGACCAGGGCCACATCCACAAGAGTCAGGGCAGGGAGAGAGGCTTAGCACAAGGCCAAGTGCCCCAGCTTTCCAGCCCCCAGGGCCTGAACCCTCTAGACTGTGGCAAACTGCATCTTGGGGTGGAAACCAGAGGGGACCTCACCTCGTACAGAGAGGAAACAGGGGCAGGGCAGGGGCGGGGCCAAGGGGGAAAGTGGTAGGACCAGGATCTAGATCCCCAGTGTTCAATGGAGCGAGCTGGGAGCCCGGAGGACCTGAGGCAGGGCCAGGGCTCCTACCTGGTGCTCTCGCTACGGCCGTGCTCCCAGGAGCAGCCCTCGTCCTCACAGTGCCCGGCCCGGTCAAAGAAGTAGGAACGGGAGCCAAAGACCTGCCCATTGAGGATGCGGCTGGTGCTCTGGGGGAGGAAACCACCATCGTGCTTTCTCCTGCCCCACCATTGGCTTCCCACAGCCCTGCCAGACCCTGGCCCAGGGATTCCCAGCGTCCACCCGTCTCCGCTGGCCCTCACCAGGTCCTGTGGGGGCCGGTGCACCCGGAAGAAGCCCACCAGCAGGGTGGTGGGCAGCAGCTCCCACACAAAGAGGATGAGGCCAAACACCAGGTAGCCTTTGTTCCCCAGGTCATTCACCAGGTCCGCCTGTGGGAAGGCAGGGTTTGTATAATCCACGACTGTGCCGGGGGGTGGGGGGGAAACCCAGACAGAGTCGAGGCCAACTGGGGGCCAAGAGCCATGGCTACTAAGGAGGCAGCCGAGGTGCTGAATGCCCACCTGGTCAGAGACGTTGTACCAGTCATAATCGAAGGCATCCAGCCGGCTCCGGGGGGCCAAGGCCAGGGCCGCCAGGTTGTAGCAGGCCCGGCTGGCATAGAGCAGGACCATGGCGCCACCCATCGCAGCTGCCTGGCATACACTGGTCCCCTGGCACAGATGACAATAGAGGACCCTCAGGGAGGGGAAGCTCCAACTCCCTCTCTACCCAGAAGATCACTGCCCAGAGAGCCCAAGGGACACCCGGGGACCAGGGCTTGTGGCCCTACCTTGGCCTCCAGGTAGATGCTGGTGGAGGGCGCCCGCCGGGCGACCAGGCAGAGGCAGGCAGCAAGAGAGAGTGCGCAGATAACAAAGAGGGAGTCGCTCACCAGGACTCGCACCAGCAGGAGGGCCCAGGGCTGTGCCCGGCGCCGGCGGGACAGCACCGCGCACAGCACGTTCACCAGCAGGAAGAGCAGCGAGGCCCCCACGA